ACTCCATACCTGAAGGTTGAACAGATTAACAGAGTTGGAAGGGACCTTTTAGGTCATCTAATTCCCCCCACCCCCCAGAAGGCAACTTCTGTTCCATTGGTTGATTGCTCTCACAGTCAGAAAATTTCTCCTTANAAAATAAAATAAATAATAAAATAATAAAATAAAATAAAATAAAATAATAAAATAAAATAAAATAAAATAAAATAAAATAATAAAATAAAATAAAATAAAATAATAAAAAATAAATAAAATAATAAAATAAAATAATAAAATAAAAAATAAAATAAAATACTAAACTAAAATAAAATACTAAAATAAAATACTAAAATAAAATACTAAAATAAAATACTAAAATAAAATAAAATACTAAAATAAAATAATACAATATTAAATAAAATAAAAATAAAATAAAATAAAATACTAAAATAAAAAATAAAATAAAAAAATAATAAATTAAAATAATAAATTAAAATAATAAATTAAAATAATAAATTAAAATAATAAATTAAATTAAAATAAAATAAAATACTGGCATTTCTCCCCCGCCCTCTGCTCGATTGCAAGTAGAAGACAAGAGAACAAGCAAGTTTTTAGGAGTTGGGTTTGCATTGGGGGCTGCCAAGACACACCTTCCCAGGTTACCAGTAACAGAATTGGAAGGGACCTCTAGAGGTCATCTAGTCCAACCCCCTGCTCAGGAAGGAGCCTTATACTAGGGATTCGAACCGCCGAACTTGTTCTGATCAACAAGCTCAGCGTCTTAGCCACCGAGCCACCCAGTCAGGCTGTTTCACAGCATGCTTTGCGACCGGCGTTCTGTGAGTCAGGAAGGCTGGTGCCCTTTTGGGCCCGGTTGGATATTGGAGAAGAGGATCCGATTTGCAATCAGCCGGCGGAGAGTCCAAGGGAGACGGGTTGAGCCGGGGCCGCTGCAGATATTCGGGACGACAACTCCCAGCGTCCCCTCTTGCAACCTGGTGGGGAGCGGGAGTGGGAGGGACCCCCAAGTGGCCCCTTTCGACACCCACAAGGGGCCCAGAAGGATTTCTACCTGTCTCTCGCACCAGGCTCTGGATTAAACACCTTTTTCTTCTTCTTATTTCCTTGCAAAACCAGCAGCTTCTCGGCCAGACGCTGCCGACAGGGCCCGATGCCCTCCCAGGGCATAAAGGTGCATAAAATAAAGGGGTTTTAAATTCTAATTAAACAAAACAGGCAGGGACCCCTTTATTTTATGCACCTTTATTTTAAAAACCTCTTTGATTGTATTTATTGAGGAGATCTGCTTTCGGCTACCGGTTGGATCCTAAACCTGCCCGCTTGGGAAGACGGCTGAGCATCCTTTCTGCCTGGGCACCAGGGAAGGGCGCCCTCTCCTGGCCATGCCCAGGACGGCCTGAGACTACCAGGCCTGTGCACGCCAGGGGAAAGGAGCATGGGTCCCCAGACTCACCTCTGAAGAAGCCTCTGCGATGCCGGTCCTCGGTGGCGGAGAGTCCAGGGTGACGCCGGCGGGCGGAGTGGTCTTTCCCCCAGCTCCGATACGAGGCCCGTCTGCCCCTCGGAGCCACAACCGAAGGTGTCCCAGGCTCCTACGCGTGCGTTGCACACTCACTTTGTCCTCCCGGCACATTAAAAACACAACGGCTCCAGCAACGTGGCCCAGCCGTGCGAGCGAGTGCATCCCGGGGAGCGGAGAAACATTTTGCCGCGTGGCTATTGATTTTCCTCTCCCCCCCCCCCCCCCCACAAGCCCCTTCCAGCGGATCAATGCAGCCCCAATCAATACGCCGGGCGGGAGATTCGCCCATGTGGCACGCACTGCAACATGGACTCCTTCCTCCCTCTCTCTCTCACACACACACAAACACACACACACAAACACACACCTTTTGCGCAGAGAAACCCAGATGTGCACAAGGATGCCGGTTGTTGTTGTTTTGGGGTTTGAAACTTTTAATGTTAGCCCAGCTGTAAAACAAGATGGGAATTGGTGGGCAGGAGGGAAGCCACCTCTAATGCCCTCACAACAGCCCTCCGAGGTAGGCTGGGGCAGGGGATAAAATAACCGGCCATTCAGGGCTTTTTCTCCTGTTTCGTTTAATTAGAATTTAAAACCCAGTGTGCTTCACATGACGGGGGTCCATCAGCCCCCCGGCACCCATTTGTCCTCATCATTTATTTTCCCTTCCTCGCAAACCCTGATTCCTGGCTTGTTCTCGGCAAGCTTCAAGATGGATGCCGCCGGGAAATTGCAAAAAAAGAGGAGACGGGGGAAACAGCTTCGTAAAAGCTGCAGCCCTACGAGGGATTCCCACCCCCAACATTGAGGTCTTGGGGATCCCAAGCCAGACTCCGCTGTGCCCCTCAGCCTCAAGAGTTTTGGGGGAGCATCTTGGCCAACAACTGGAGGGTCAGAAAGAGAGAAAGAGGCGGCTTCGGTTCTCGTCTTCCTTCCTCCCTTCCTTCCTTCTTTGCAGCCCTATTGATTTTTTTTCCCAAAGCCATTTCGAGTAAATCTACCCACCGACTCTCGGCCCCAAGGACTTTAAAAGGGCTTGACAGTTTTTATTCGGACCCTCAATCTATTTTAAAACGTGTCGGTCTCCGGCCTTCGGCGGGCAGGAAAAAAGAAAGGAGAGGAGTTTTGAAGGGCTGCGGAGAGCCGCAGATGGGAGATTTCGGTCCCGGAGATATTTCAAAAGTCATTTCTTGTGTGTGTGTGTGTATGTGTGTGGGGAGGGAAACGCAACTACCAAGCAGGCCTCCCCCCCCCACCACTTTAATCTCCTTTTCTGTCTAAAACTGCATCTTCCTTCTTGCAAGGAACATGTGTGTGTTTGTATGTATGCATGTATGTATGTATTTCAGCCTTGCCAGAATGCAAGGGATTTTTCTGAAGCTTTAAACCATGCAATTTTTGTTTTTTTAGTTAGTATTTGGGGATTGGGGTGATGGGGGGGGTGAAATCTGCCTTTTGGAGGTGCAAAACCGCCCGGAGAATCTTCTCTGAAGCCAGCAAGCCCCCAATGCAACATTAGCCCCCTCCCCAGATCATCCAGTAAGGGAAGATGCTATCCCCCCACCCCCCAAATAAATAAACAGGGGGATCTTGCATTCGGTCTGGCCTTCTCAGCAGGGAGGGAGGGTAGATGGAGCCCAGCTCTCCCCAACCCCCCCCCCCGTCCAGCCCAGGACTTGGAAGCCCCCCCCCTCCCACCCAAGCCCACCACTCTCCTCCTTCTCCCCTTCCCGGTTGCCATAGCGGCCACGCAGTTCCGGCGGTATTGATGTTCCCCCATTGATCTGTGCGGTGGTGCGGTGTCTGGACATGAGGTCCAGGCATTGTGCCGGGAGAAGCTGACAGACACCGATCAATGCGCCCTGCCATTTTCCAGCTCTGTCTGCGGGGCTGCCGGCCTTCCTTTCGGGGGAGGCGGCGCATGGCTGATGCTCGCCGGGGGTGGGGTGGGGGGGAAATGGGGGCAGGGAGGGGGGAAAGAAGGCTAAGGGGGGGACTCCTTTTTTTAAAGCAGCAGCTATGGATTTGACTCCCCCCACCCGCAAACTCCAGACCCAGATCCTTTCCCCACCACCCACCATCCTAAATCTGGCCCAGGGAGGGAGGTGGCCAGCCGTGGCACCTTGGCCAGGTGGAAGAGCGGGAGGCGTGGCCATGCAGACGAAGGGGTAGGGGTGGGGCCATGCAGGTGGTTTCCCCTGTCCTGTTGGCTAGGCCAACCGAAGTCACGCCATGTCCCATCAGCCACAGCCGCACAGGGTCTGGTTCGTCAAACTTCGCAGAGTTGAATGGGTTTTGTGGCCAGAGGGAAAATAAGTGAGATGGAGGGTTTTTTTTTGTCTCCTGGATTGAGGGGGGGGGGAGTGCACTTTGCCCATGCTCTGGGGGGGGGGCACGCAAAAGCCAAAGGAAGTTTCTGATGGGCCCCCTGGAGCCTTTGGGGCTGAAATGCCATCCTTGTGCCCTCTGCCATTACTCTTGACGTTTGCATCTTTGCAACCCCCAGAAGAGGGCAAACTAACCACCATTCATGGTCGGAGTGACCAGGATAGGCGAAGGCAACTAATAGAAATAGTATATAGGTTTTCCTGCTTGAGCAGGGGGCTGGACTAGAAGACCTCCAAGGTCCCTTCCAGCTCATTCATTCTATTCTATTCTAACTGCGCCCTCCTGGCTAGTTGGCGGAGCCCGGGGCGGGGCAGCCAAGGCTGATCTCCCTCCCCGGGGGCCTCGTGCATTCTGCCCCTGCGGCCGTCCTTCGGGGTCCGGGCTTATCCGGGCTCCGCTCCTCAACCCCGGACTGTATCTCCGCAGCTTTCCCTGCGGCGGGACCAGTCTGGAAGCGCGCGGGCGACCTCTGGCGGCCCATCCTGGGAGCTGCAGCCGGGCGCCGAGGTCTTCAAACTTGGCGAGTTTTAAGACTTATGGATTTCAACTGCTGGGGAATTCTGGGAGTTGAAGTCCACAGTCTGAAGACCCCTGGCTTGCGGGGGAGGTGCGGGGGGGGGCCCTCGTGGAAACTGGGGCGCAGAGGGGGAGCTGGGGAGGGGGCTTCTTCTTAAAATCTGCATCTGTTGCGGGATAAAGTAGGAGGGAAGCCCTCTGCACGTGCTTTGGGGGTCGCAGAGGCAATCTGTTCATGCTCAGGGGATGCATTTTTTGGAGCAAGTAGGGGCAGCACTCTGCGCATGCTCAGAGGCTTTGATGCTTTGATTGATTCTGGCTCAATGAGGCTGTTCGCCCCGCCTTCTTGCAGTTCCTATTGGCCGAGGGCGGCGACCGTCTAATTCGAATCTTTTTTTCCCGCCTTTCGCCGCCTGTCGATCACGGCGTTAGAAACCCAGCTCCCGATTGGTCGGCCGAGATATCGCCCGCCTCCTCGTGCTAGCCCGGTGATTCGCCGCGAGGCTAGCGGCTCCTCCCCGTGGGCGGGGAATAATGAAGCGAGGGGGCGGAGGCGGCGGCGGCCATTTTGGCTCTCCGCTGACAGGGGCAGGCGAGCGGGAAAGAGGGCGCCGGCCGTGCCTGGCCCCAGCGCTTCTACCCTCGCCTTCCTCGGGCCGCCCGGCTCGGCTCCTCGCGCCTCGCCATGTCGGACACGCGCGGCGCCAGTGACACCCGTCCCGACGACACCGGCGTCGAGAAACAGGTGAGGGCGGGGAGGGGCCGAGCAGCGCTGGTGGGGGGGGAGGGAAGTGTGCAGAACGGGCAACGCGGATTGGTCAGCCGCTCCGCCACTCGGCGCCGGGCTGACCCCTGATTGGCTGAACACGAGGATTGCCCGGGGGCTCATTGGTCCGCGGGCTCTCCGGCGTTCGGGCCCGTGGGGGGGACCATAGAGAGGATCGAGCGCGGCTACGCACAGCCTGGACTTCCGGTTTGAAACTGCTCCCGCTCTTGCCCGCGCGTCTTTATGGTGAATACACTTGCTAAGGGAAAGTCGCGCGTGGGAAGCTCTGCGCGTTTGAATGAGACCCGTTGCGTGTCGGGCGAGACGAGCCGCCTCTGGAAAGCGCAGTGACGCCTCTGTCGTCTTGCGGAAGGACTGCAATTCCCCTCCCCTCCCAAGGCAGGGGATGATGGGCCCTGCCGTGCATCCCCCCCCCCCTGGGTGATTTGATCCCAGCAGAGTTTGGAAGGGACCTTGGAGGTCTTCTAGTCCAGCCCCCTGCTCAGAATACAGAATAACAGAGTTGGAAGGGNATGCCAGGCGATTCTTCAGCTCTGCTGGCTCAGGAATCCTGGGAGTCGTAGTCCACAGGTTGTGAGGGGGGGCCTAGTTGTCTAGGCCTGCTTCCAAAAGCCGAAACCCATCTTTTCCTCTGGCCTGGTCCTCCTGGCTGGGGACGATGGGCTTCTTTTCACAAGTTGCAGCCCTCGAGAGTCAGGAGTTGGGTTGGGCCACACTAGCATTTGGCTGGGAAGAAAGGGTCTGTTCGTTTTGCTGGGTTTTGCCTGGCACAGGGGGGGCTTCCAAGGGGGCTGGGTTGGGGGTGCGGGCAGAGGGCAGGGGGTGGCTGCTTGGCAGGGCATGTGGGGTGCATGTTGGGGTACCTTTCTTCCTTCCCCTCTCTCGCTTTCTTAAAATCTTTCATTTCCTTTCTTCTCCCCCCCTTTTCTTCTTCCTTCCTTCACTTCTTCCCTCTTTTCTTTCTTTTTGCTTGCTTCCTTCCTCCTTCCTTCCTCTTGTCTATCTCTATCTCTTCCTCCCTTCCTCTCTCCCTTCCTCCTTCCTTTCTTCTTCCCTCCCTCCCTCCCTCTTCTCTTTTTCATTTCTTCTTCTTTCCTTTCTTTTTTTCCCTTCCTTTCCTTCCTCCTTTCCTTCCTCCTTTCCTTCCTTCTTTCCTTCCTTCTTTCCTCCCTCCCTCCCTTTTCTCTTTTCCCTTTCTTCTTCCTTCCTTCTTGACTTCTTTCCTCCCTCCCTCTTCTCTTTTCCATTTCTTCTTCTTTCCTTTTTTCCTTCCTTCCTTCCCTTCCTTCCTTTCCTTTCCTTCCTCCTTTCCTTCCTCCCTCCCTTTTCTCTTTTCCATTTCTTCTTCCTTCCTTCTTGACTTCTTTCCCTACTTCTTTTCTTCCTTCCTTCTTCCTTCCTTTCTTTCCTCCCTCCCTCCCTCTTCTCTTTTCCATTTCTTTTTCTTTCCTTTCTTTTTTCCTTCCTTCCTTTCCTTCCTTCCTTTGCTTCCTTGTCTGTCTCTATCTCTTCCTCCCTTCCTCTCTCCCTTCCTCTCTCCCCTCCTTCCTTTCTTTCTTCCCTCCCTCCCTCTTCTCTTTTCCATTTCTTCTTCTTTCCTTTTTTTCCTTCCTTCCTTTCCTTCCTTCCTTTGCTTCCTTGTCTGTCTCTATCTCTTCCTCCCTTCCTCTCTCCCTTCCTCTCTCCCCTCCTTCCTTTCTTTCTTCCCTCCCTCCCTCTTCTCTTTTCCATTTCTTCTTCTTTCCTTTTTTTCCTTCCTTCCTTTCCTTCCTTCCTTTC